ATATAGATGAAATACATCTTTCTTCATATATTTATGTTTTACACCTGTGATTAATTTCACTTTCCAATTAGATGGTTACCTTCCACCTTCTAGAAATGATTCTTTTTTTTTCCCTACAGGGATTAAGATGATCCTGGAACATGAGACACAGCAAAAAAAAAACGGTAAAAGTCACTTTCAGCTTCTGAGGAGTAATCAGGTTTTGTTGCTCCTAGTTACTTTTCACTTAACGATCTGGAAGCTAATTCTCCCAACTGATACCCACACATATCATACCAGAGAATTTGTCTTTTATCAAGACATCAACCACTAGGTAATAATTTTCACAATTGTAATCACCAATACCTATGATTGAGTATCAAACTTGTAAAGAAATAACAATGCCGATAACTGCTAGAGAAGAAAGAGTTAACTATTCTTTAAAACACTTTCAAAAATTTCCATGACCGCAAGCTGTCAATTCTAATATCAGTTCAAAGCTAGAATTCGTTATCTCCCAACGAAATTTTACTAATCTTATAGTTTGATTCCTTTTTGAGGCTATAACAGCTTATAGTCTGATGTATCAGGGACTGATATCGTGAATTTGTAGATTAGTATAGAATGTTCTGTTTTAAGTGTAAAGCATTAGGAGGAGACTTTATCCTATCACTCATGTTGAAAATCTTCCAGTAACATATATTTTTTCATTGTTATCTTCAATTTCGGAGAGCGAAATATAACGCAGAATACAAATTCTTTTTTAACGATCAGAGGCAATATTTGCCATATTGCACCTGAGAAATCATCCCACATAAACAAGCAAGTAATTTAATCCACAGATAAAATAGCTTAAGCTGACCAAAACTGAGGAGGCTTTCAAGGACTCCTTGGGCAAAGGAGCTTGCGACTTAAACTTAATACAACGCGGACAGCTAAATCACAAACTTCGATTTCCATAGGCTCCATCAAAATCACTGTCACAAACTACCACGCAATCACCGAGTGCTGGCCCTGACCTTCGGTCGCATAAGCATTTACCTAAGATGGTATTGAGTCCAGTAGTCTCAGCAGCAGTCCCTTTAGTGTCAGACTCTCGAGAACAAAGGATAAATATTTGGATTTGTAAGAAGATATAATTGTGACCTTGGGAGTGGATGGAAGTGTTTACCTAGTATAGGAAAGAGTAGGTCAATTGGAGCGGTTTTCGATTAGGTGTCATAAAACCAAACCCAAAGCAATCAGAACAGCCACCATGGTAAAGAAAATATCACCAGGAGCCACTAAGAACTTAAAGTAAAAACAAGCAACCTGCCTGAAGCGCTGGAAAACGCGAGTGACCCAGTCACGATTGGTTTTCATTGGGCGTCCGATTGGTTAAGAGCAAGAGCGAGAGCGAGTTTTCTACATCAATCACGTTAAAGAGTCGCGTTTAAGGCAGAGCGCGTATTCCTGAGTCGAAGAAGAGACCAAGATTGGGAGCGACGAATCAAGGGAATACTGAACTAGCAAGTGATATATCCGCAAATACTGTTAACCTAAATAGAGTCATTGATCTCACTCATTACCTTGAGTGAGATCTATCGGCAAAAAAAAATTTTGCAAGAGTTTGCTTCTCACAAACAAAACACTAGTTCAATTGACAAGGTTATCAAACTTCACTTTTTTAATACTTTATGACCAATGCCTTTCTTTCCGTTTGTTAAAGTTGCTCTGCAAAGCGTTTACTAAACCGCACTTTGACACTTCTAATTATTTCACAAGTTAAAGCGGTGCGAGTAGCTTGACGAGCTCACAGGACGTTTCTTCCTGATGTGATAGGAAAAAATTTGGTCTGCTCAGTTAAGATGATTTAGACTTCATGCTTGCAATATTTAAGTCAACATTTAGCAGACTTCCTTGAAGTGGCCGTAAGAGAAAATTTATCTTACCCGTAACCTTTTAATCTGAATACTATTATTACCAAAGCGATAACACACAAAGCACAATGCTTCCTAAATTCATATTTCTTCGGATTTACAATAAAGATTTTTGAAATGTCACCAATAATTTCAAAAGCAACAGCAAAGATAAGAACAATCGCTCTTATGCGCCGACTCTAAACATTTTTTTTTAAACGAATTAAAATCTGCTTTATGTTCTTAAGAACATTTCAATAAACATCAGTATTTTTTGGGGGGTCGGTGAGTCACGTGACTAAAATGAAAAAGTCACGTGATATCACTTGAAGCTTAAAACCATTTATATACTCTGTTGGTGAATACTATAATGACTCTAAGCTAAAAAATTAAAACCGATTAAATTAATATTGTCTCCGCACAATTACGCAGTTATTAAAAATATAAGAGAATATAGAGCACAAACGATTTAAGAAAAGAATTCATAAGTACGAAACCTTAAAAAATACATATGTAAATATATTCATTCTAGTTACAATTTAAAATAAAAAAAATAGAAAACAAATTAAAAAAAACAACAACAACAACAAAATGAGCTACTCTAGCACATACTACAATTCATTGTTTCGATTCTCAGACTCAGGCCGAAACAGAACTTGTGCAAGAATTATAGACATGAAACAAAACCTGTTACGGGGGGGGAGGGAAAGGGTGGAGGGGGATGATTTAATTTAATTTATGGACTCCTGTTTAATCCTATTCATGGTAAACACCCACCCATCCCACCCATAAGGAAATATTTTTGAGACACAACTAACAAATTTAGCTTAGACAGATTTCACACCGAAGGTGTTTGATATGTTGGGATAGTAGGCCTATTAGAGGTCTTCCCCTATAAGGGCTGTTATGAAATCTTTCGCCAGAACTGTTGCGTGACAACAACGTAACAGCTACAGGTAGACCATGGGTGAATCAATGCATACAGCGATCTTCCAAGGTAGGTTCTTCAAATAACATAATAATGAAAACTGATCGTCCTCTCGTCTTCAGATTCATATGTTTTCTGCCTGCAAAGAGACAGAACAAAGTGGATTAATAAAACACGACCAAGACTTGAACATAATTTCTGAGTTTTTCTTTTTTTGTTCGAGGGCACCGTCTCGCTTAATTGTTTTTTCCATATCTTTTTTTTTCAGGGCATCGTAAGTTTCATGCCAAAAAAGGTTTCACATGCACAAAATTAATTCAAAAATTAGTAGCTGAAGAAATTAGACTACTGCATGTAAACGTATGAACGTAGAATAAAAAATTCCTATCTTTCCAAAAGAACCAAAATAAACAACACTCATAAAAGTTCACTTTCCATTAATCCACTTTGTTCAGTCCTCGTTACAAGTATAGTAAAGAAAAAAAAACAACACAAAAAAAACAATAAATAGGTTTAACTGTCACTGACTTGAGTTAACGAAGAAGCAAAAATAATTGTATAAAGAGCTTACATATGATTACAAGTTTATGGTTAAAATTAATCCAAAGAAATCCCTCCACCAGTCAAGCTTTGTACTTGAAAGTAAAAGCACATTAAAACACTTTGCTCTTACAGTTCATCACTGTTTGTGATTCACTATTAAAAAGAAGCCGCTGAGCATAAATGACTGACGAGATCAGGAAAAATTTGAGCTCTTTCGTGTTTAATTCTTCACCCAAACACTGGCAGTGTTTCTCCCTACTCCAGACGTATTAAAGAAGACAGTCACTCTCCCTCCGGTAATAGGCGGGGAAGGGTATGGGAGAAGGAGGGGGTGTACCACCTGCCACGACCATCGGTAGAAGATGCAACGCCATGAACACTTCGAAGCTGTCCCATATTTTCTCTCAATTGAAAACGAATGCTCCCAGTTTCACGTTATAGATTTCTGAAAACCCCATTTTAGCAAAACAATTTCCCTTTCACCCTCATTTACTCTTTGACGAGGTTCAACAACATTCGCTTGGTTCGTCGTTTCTGTTTCAAGTCAAGCCAAGTTTTACCATGCCATTTTTCCTGATGCTGTGAAGACAATTGTGTGCCCTTTTTCACGGCTGTAATAAACAATTCCCTCGTACGTGCCCCTAAAATATCTTATAAATGGCGTCGCAGTTTAAACGCGAAGAGGAATGTTGCTGCTAAGTTGCAAGATGACGAAAAGGGTAAAATATAGTTTCAAGAAAACGCAATTTTATAGAAATTTAAAAACAACTACTGCACATATTCCGTTCGATAACAAACGGCGTGGTCATACCAAAAGGCGACATAAGTATTTCTATGAAGTAGAGAACAGTTCACTTCTGGGACGAAAAGCGCTACTAAATTCAAAGTTTGACAAGCCAACAATATTGAGCTACTTTTGGGCTCACAAACGGCGTGACATCTAAACTTGGAAGGCAAATGGGCGGCAGTTATAGTTATCAACTATGTAATCATACTTGAGGAGGAAGAAAAGCGCGCCCAGTGAGCCAGGGAAACGAAAGGAGCGACAAGCCCCAAAATGAAACTTTTTGAACACGCAAGCTTGCAGTACTCGTGCAAATCCTATTACCCAGCCTCACACAATCTCTGATACATTAACACAAAGAAAGGTAACTCTCACTCGAAGAACAAAAAAAAAAAAAGCGAGGGTAGTTTGCTGTAAGTTATCAAGAAGTTTGCACCCCGGCAATATCTTTCAGTGTACGTTATTGATGATGTAAAAAAATTATTACGGTACTGAGAGAAAACTTGTTTTTAACAGCAACTCTGATGAAAAACGAGCAGCATTCAGAAATTAGACCTTTCATTAAATTCACGTGTTTAGGTTTGAACACCTAGATGAATGCGAAGATTATCATTCTGAAGAGAGCTCTGAAAAATTGCAGGCACAGGCGTCTTTCCGGTCCATGGCAAGCTCTCTTCCTTGAGCAACGTTTTTTCACTGTCGCTCACATTTCCCACCCTTGATAAGGGCTTAATACCTTTCCTTTACTAAGGTTCACTTTCTTGGCAATCGTACCCATTCCCCTGCTTGCTTACAAAGGTAATTACACCCACTGGCGCAACTTACATATTTAGGAACCTTACACTGCATAGTTCATAGGGGTACTTACTTTGAGCAGGTTCATCAGTCCTTCTAACTGTACCATCAGTTCTCGGCGGCTCTCTTGCAGCGCAGACATGCGCAATTCTAATTCATCTTTTCGTTGCCGTAACAACTTAAGTTCAGCCAATAGCTGGGGATTTTGTGCGATTTGGGCCGCTGATCGGGATGTTTCCTCATGCTCGTCGCGCAAGCGTCGAATTTCTTTTAGGAGAAGCCTGTTTAAAATAAGAAAATTTCAGGAGCTCAGATTATGAGTAGAATATTATTCTCTTTGTTTGTATCAGGAATTAAGTGGGCAATCGAGCTGAAAATTTCCTGTCTCTACTCCTCGTTTCCACAAAGAACGTTTTCAAAAAAGCAAGCAAAAAGCGCGACACTGATGAGGCTAGTGTATGCTCTAGATCACTATGCTGCAGTCATTTTAAGAGTCCTAGGACATCCTCAAATGCGACTCAAACCTTATCCGGAGCCAGATACAAATGAATTGAACACCTTCAACTAATGTCGTTGCTGGTAATTAATCTGCCAGATTAATTACCGGCTACGACTTTAGATGATCTCCACAAAAAAAACGTTGAACGGTGAACGTTCATTACGTATGAACTTCGAAGTTTTCTAAGCCAACACACTGAATTCTCACGCCGCCTCTTTCAACCTCTTTCCTTATTTTCTCTTTTGAAATTGTTACCTGTTTTTGTTTTGCAGAGTCTGCATGAGTTCTCTCTGTTCCCTGTTGGCGTCAATGCTTGACTGACTTGGAGACTTGGTCACTTTAGCGGCGGGTTTCTGTCGCTAAAAAAAACAAACAAAAATGATTACTACGTTGCTCCTCAAAAAAATTACTACAAACTACGCCTGTGAGCCTCTTAAGAATTTCTTTCTGAAAGTACAAATTGATTTTGTCATGCCACACTGTTTCCTTACGAACTGGGTCTGAATTGCTAAGAACACTCATTTTTCAAGCGCAAAACTCAACACAAGAAATTCAGTTGTGCTTTCCAAAAGGAAGGATATATTACAGGGATGTAAGTGGGAGGTATGGAGTCAACTGAAGACCCTTTTAACCGAAAAATAAACCGAGAATTTCAACCAAAAAGTGGGCCGAAAAATACTTTGCGCTTTCGTGGGTCTAGATTAGCATTTCACGACTTGATGCTTGCGTGACTTTGAGAGATAACTTCCCACACATTGCGCTCACTGTAATTATAAAGCGATCACTAGATTGCCCGTTGCATAGGTCACCTGCGATTAATTTACCCGTGTAAGATAATGAAATACCCCGAGAAAAAGAAATTCCTTTCACACCCTTAATAAAAATCCAAACGGACACGGCATGATGTCCATTCCAACTATTGGCTATCCTGACCGAGAAAATCATCAATTGATAATTCTTCCAACTAGCTACACACGATAGTTTACTTTATGCGCTGAGGTAGTGATTAAAAAGAAAATAAATTCACAAATCCCCCATATCTGACTACTGCATCTTAGCAAAGCATTTAAATGTGTAAAGCAGGCCTTGTGTTCATCAATTCTGAAAGTCAAAGTTATCTATTTCGATTTGTTGTTCATTAAAATTCGATGTTAATCAGCGCGCTGCAAAACAAGGAACCCTATGGATGTGTTATGACTAAAACACTAAGACGTTCTCTGATCTCAAAAAGATTGTGAATATCTCACATTAAAGACAAGTCAGAAACACTACTACAAGATACTTACCGAATTGGCTGCGAGTCTGTCCATGAGCGAGCATGATGCAACAACAAAGAGATAGCAATATATCGTTAGATAAAAGAAAAATTTTAGGCCAACAACATTACATCAACAAGATCCGGTTAGAAGCACTCGATAGAGAAAACATTTCGTTTTATCCTTTCGCGTCAGATGGAGATTCGTGACACTAAGAACGGCGATAATAAAATTATTTTAACTTTCTCACTTGCTCAGCATGGGTTAAGCAAATATAGGACAGATACACATGTGGTCGCGCTCATAAAAAAAACTAATTCACTGGGGATTAAGATGGAAACCACGGAATCTAACCAATCGTTTGCAAATTGTTACTTATTTTTCTTGTACGGGCAAACACATACTCAGGTCAACTGAATTTAATTCATTTATTCAACGGAGTTGATCGATGCAAAACGTATGATTGAAACTGCCATTTAATTACAGGCACAAATGAAACGATGTTTTTTCGAATTTTATTTTTTTATTTTTTTTTTAAGAATCATTAGGTTGAATAGGCGTATTCAATTCATGGAATCTGTGGTAGGCTAAAATCACACCAAAGAAATTAAAATATCTTTCATTAGCGGTGTCTTAATGCGAAATCACTCACGACCAATCGCACAGGACGCGGCGGCGAAATTTTCTAGCAAACAGTATACACAACTCACATTTGTCACATTTTCAATAGCGCCGTTTTTCTTCTTCACATAACAACATGAAACATGAAAATTTTTCTTTTCAAATCTAAAGCGGAATTCATCCAAACGACCCAAGTAAAAAAAAAAAAAAAAAAAGATATTATTCAAACAATGACCACAGAATGCGTTCACTGTAAGTCAACGCAGTTGTCACTAAGAAATCAAACTCGCGTTTATCAAAACATTTTTTAACAAAGCTTAAAATAAATTATTCCTCTGGTAGACCACCAGACATTCATTCCATAATTGCTAGAAATCTTAGTTCTCCATAAGATTTTGAGTGGATGTTCTATGAATGTGGCTAAGCGAAAAACAAAGCACTGCTGTGATGGAAATTTAAATGACAAGAAAGATTGTCAACTTAGAAAGTTGTTCTTAAAATATTTTTAAGAAATACCATCAATCTTCGTGAGAATAATTAAGCAGTTTGAGATCTTGGATCAGCTCAAGTTTCGAAAGCGAATACGCATTAATGCAAAAGAAGGTAAAGAATGTAAAATTCAAGACCGTATTCTAGTTTTGTGATACGATTGCGGAGATGGGGATAGAAGAGTCGCCTTCCTTTCATAAAAATGATGAATAAGTACAAGAACATAATAAAATAAGGCTACACGAAAAATTGAAGGGAGATATCATTATCACAAACAACCCACTCAAAGTACGCCGTCCTTGAACAAACCTTCACGGAAAAAATTGGAAAGGTATTCATCGACAGACATCCAAGACAAAGACAAAAACCCAAGCCAAGCCTGACCCGACCACTACGCAGCATGAGTGAAAAAAGCGGGTCTCATGTACATAAAACCACATTTAGCTTGTAACCCAGTCATGAAATACGGATTTTATTAACTTACCTAGCCGCATATCTTGATATCAACTTGTGCTCATCATCCATTCTGGAATCAGACAACCAAAAATTACGCCCAACATAATGGGGAATAAAACTACCGTTGGGCATGATAATAAAATACGACTTCGTGCGACGAGGAACCCAAACGGCGATACACAACTTCTTGCGGGCGTTCTTTGCCAGCTTCCACCGCCGTATTCAGTAGCTGAGCTTGCTGTTTGAGTATACTTAGTATCGCTCGCTATCAGGTGTTAATAAAACAAATCTACATATTCATAATGAGTTTTTCAACGACTGTGAAATAAATTCACTCACTTAAAGAATACATGCACTGTTCGTTTCAATTGGTCAAATTCACCTTCATAAAGATAATGGCAATTATCGCCACGGGGAAGCGATGAAGCCAGAAAAATGATTTTAGATCATATCTGAAAGGTGTGCTGTAAGTCTTTTTTCCCACGCCTTACGAAATGAAAACAAAATAGCCACGAATAATAGGCTAGGGTTATTGCTCTTGGAAGACAAGCAAATAGAAATATTAGATAATTTTAATGACAATAAAAGACGAAAAAAATGGGAATTTCATTGTCGTTAAAAAAACAAATAGTACATGACTCGAACAATTTGTCTCCTTTTTTTGCTCGACTACTTGAAAAAGTCTATTTTCGTTCGATGCAAACTTTCATTTCAAAGGGGAAAAAACCTGTTTCGCTTCATTAGGGTGGGTGTCCAATTTTGTTTGTTTGACCTTTTATAGCACACATCAAAGTTTGCAGCTTCTTACCGCTCATATTAAAGATTGAAATATTTGTTTCCTGAATTTAACAGAATTAATTCCGCAAATCCTAATTTCCATCTGAAAGACACGAAACGAATTTCCTCACTAAATAGATAGGAAAGAACGTCGCCAAAGCATCGGACACTTATTGATTTATCGTTCATTAAGCTGGAAATGTTCTTTTCTCAACAGAAAGTTCGATATTGAATGACAGCCATCGTTTTGGGAATTTGCATGGAATTATTTCAAAGTGCTCTTCCTTTCTGCGAATTTTTTCTAACGATCAATTATAATCTGTAGATACGGTCTCCACCGTCTTTTTAAAAGCTTCATTTTTGTTTCCGTTTCCTTTCTCTTAATTAAAAGACGTCCTTACACATCGCAGTAATTCAACTTCAACTCGGGTTTTAAGTAACCCGGGGTTATTTTAAGAGGTAGATACGGTCAACTAAAACCCACTTCCAAGATATCAAGCCGACATTAATTTACTCTGACGAAGGACTCACGCTCGAAACGTCGGCTTACGAATCTCTTTACGATTGCCAATTTACATTATCCACTCTGTTGATGAAACCAAATTATCGCGACATTCATTTGGCCGATCAAGTGCAAGAAGTAACACGTGATTAAATTAAGATGCCTTTTCCTCGTTTGTTCCTTTTTTTTTTTTCCTTTTTTTTATCGAGTATGAATGAAGACCTCAAGCAATTACTAACTCTCAAAGTCCAGAAAAGACAGGAAAACTGTTACCTTTATTACCGCGGTTTTAGCGCCAGATAACTTGAAAGACTCTACTATCCTGATGGAAAGATCTGGGTTCCCTTTTTTTTCCTTTCTATTTTTACTCGGAGAGTGGTTTATTTTTAAACCTACTGATAACCTGCCAGCTGGCCCTCATTACTAGAGACTTAACCACATTCTGCTCCAGCCATGGAAATTTCGTTAAACCCTTTCACTCCCGAGTTCTAAATATTAATTATTCTCAGTACTGTTCCACATATGCTGCTTGTGATTCTAGTTAGGAGAATTTGGTGTTAAATCAAGCAACTACCGCCCCTTGTTGATATTTTTCCCTCTTCTCCTCACCTGTCTGTTGAAACAGTTTAAATAATGTAAAGAGAAATTCCTTGTTAGTCACTCAAACGAGCCAACTAGCCCTTACCTTCCGTCCAAATCCTCCGCCATTTTAGTTGGCTGTGACGACTCCATTGAGGTATCCACTGACTCAGGTGACGTAGAGCTTGCGACGTAATCAACATATTGATTTGGACCGGAAAGATCTGAAGGCAACGGAGGTCTGCCAACACAAAAGTAAAACAGAAGGAGCCTAAGTTAAATTGAATCTTGGCGTTTTAAATTCCTATAAATGATACCACAAAAATTAAAATGAAATAAATACGCAGAGGAAAAGTACATCAAAAATACATCAGATTTCCAGTCTCTGAACACAACTTTTAACCCAGTAAAATGGTTGTCGACGAACATAATAATATTCAGTAACTTTGAGAAACTTTTAAAACGTTTCTTGTGATGTTTGAGAATGTGAGCGAGGCATAGAGCTATCTCTAAAAAAAAAAAAACCGCACGGAATTTTAAAACGAGGTAGAATCGACTAAATTTAAATTCTGAACCTAAGCAAGCAGTTAACAATTTTCAACTACGTTATATTGTTAGAGTCTCTAAATATGAAAACCGCCTCTTTCTAATGGGAAGATAATTCGTTAATTCAACTCCTCGGTACCGTTATCTAAGTAACACCGTACAACGTAATTGCGATAAGCAATTACAAACCCACTTTAATCTAAATTTATTCACGGAAGAAGCGAAAACATTCACAGACGACACGAAAGAATCAACCTTTCACATAAAAACAGTTTTCGTTGCCAAAGAGGCACGACTGCAAATAGTACGCCCTTCCAAGAGTAGACAATAGACGGCATTTATGTACTTCAATTCTTAAGAGCAACAAAGACATTTGTTGTTTTGAAAAGAAAGGTTTCATATAACTTTTCTCTTCAGCTTATTGTTCACTTACGTAATTCCACCGCCTTTGACGCGAACTCTTAATGGACGCGTAAAGATATAGCATGTCTGACGAGCGTTTGGTTTTAAAGTTATAAAAAGCCGCTTTTCCGAGTAAGAATCATCGCTGCTGCCACTGCTACCACTACTGCTACCACTGTTACTAGTGTTTGAACTCCTCTCACTCGAGCGACTACCACTAGAACTGTTACCGTTTGAACTACTGCTAGAGGAATTCATCCTAGTTCAACTTTCCTCTCGGTACGTAGAACGGGTCGTTTAGCGCAGAAACCAAACCAGAATTCCATCTTTGCAATTTGTACATCATTCTAGACTAAACTTGTGTCGAAAACAAACTTTTGCAATCGAAGTTTTATCGCGCTACGCAATGTTACGGTCAACATAAAAACTCCCTTTCAAGCTCATAAATAAATTATTAATTGTTACTTCAGATCGCAATCGGTGATGTTAAATATTTAGTACATTTCGGCCAATCATGAAGACATGGAGTTTACTCGACGAAGGCAATAAACACAAATCATATGAAAATAGATAAAACAAAAAAATATTGCTGTGTCTTTCAGAAACCGCGGGGTTTCGTTTAGCCAATTGCGTCATTCCATTAATCATCCTTGCAAAATCTACCGTGAAATGTAGCAAGTGTATCTATTTTTTGCCACTTTTGTTATCATTTATTGAACTCAGCTAATCCATTATCAAATTAGCTGCTTCTTTAAAAGTAAGTAAAGATTATCTCACGAATAACACTTTGGCGTTGTGAAACGATCTGCAGGCAACCAATCCTTCTGTAATTTCTCTCCACGTCGGTTATGAAAGTAAAATCAAAAACTTAAATTCCAAGATTAAAGAAACAAAGTGTTGTTCCAAGATTAGAAGACCAAAGTTTGTCGATATAAAAAAAACCTACACCAAATACTACGATAAAAGTGTACATTGAAAAGAAAATAAAGGAAATTTCAGTGTTCGTCGTGTTTATCAGGAAATTGAAATTCGGCTTCCTCTAAATCCTCTGACCCTTAAGAGTGATTAGCATCTAATTTCTCCTTACAACATCACGTCGAAATCACACTTTAAGGCCACGAGAATAAAGGCACTGATCAACAACTAAAGAAGCTTTTGATTGTGAGACAAGTTCTCCAAAAAAAATTGCATTTGAAACTGAATTGCCATAATTTGGAACTCGAAACATTCATTCTAAAAGGTTCAAACTTTCAGAGATTTACAAACATCTTTCTTTGTCATCTTTAAAACAAATTCGCTCGTTTTCCCGAAATGTTCCATAGCTTGTGGTCAAAAATAATTCTTTGAATTCCACGAGAAATATTGGTAGTTAAGAACCTTTAATAATACCGTGCATGTTGACAACAAGAGATGAGCTTCATGGTTCTACAACTCAATCTCAAAGAAACTTTCCGTCAAAACGAAATTCTATTTATCGCCTTGCTTTTGACTCTTGAATCACCCGAAACAGGCTGAGTAGAGCTCTCAAACTGATTTATCAAGATCATAAGGAGGCTAAAGCTTGCAACATCAGCTTTGTCTCCCTTAATCAACGTCGTGTTGATAACCAACCTAGTCTCATCTGCCCTCCGACCGCCCATCGATACAGCTTTTTGCAATCAAATAACTTCATCCAATCGAGTTCCTCTGACGTGTACATTGTTTACGACAGTAAAAAAACAAATGTTAATATCAGCCTGTGGTCGAGAAAGTAGCTAAACCGGGCGTTCCTTTATCTTCAAATGCCAACTGGAAAAATGATAAAAACTTATCAAATGTTCAGTTTACCTTTAGCGTTTGGTATCAAGTCTCGACACAATGTAAATAAGCGATTACTCAACACGGAAAAGGATGCCGTTATCAGTAGAAAAGGACGAAAACTTTGTTTCCTTACATCCGTTATCTATCCTCGTGTACAGCTCTTCACCTCACGTTGGCCCGAGATGTGTCACTCTATTACGTACATGTAGTTAGTAGAGTTGTCCTCACGGTGACGCGGAAGTCCCGGGTGACGATAAAATTACTCTAGGTTTTTCCCCAAAATTTCCTCCTTCTCATAGCTCCTACCAACAGAGAATCTTGCCTCAAGAAATTCCCCTTCAGGCAGACGAATGTTTAGCTAAGTTCGCAAACAGTATTTTGTCAGGTTTCCCACACTAGTACCATTTCATCGGCTTACATCACGATATTACTTCGCCATTTATTTACAAGGTAGCCGTAAACGTTTTCAATGAGACAACACCCAAGAGGTAAGATAAAACAAAAAGTAGACGAGGAGTACTTAGTAAGGATAACAAAACGCATTTCGATTCACCAAAGTAATTCCAACAGCCAATCAGAAGCTAGGAAATATCACGCAGAACCTAGTTAAAACACCCACATTGCCATATGCACGTGAAACTCGGGTGAGCAAAACGTCATAGATTTCAGTTTTGAATCTGATTGGTTGAGAAAGTAGCGCGAGTTTTCTAGACCAATCAAAAAGCGAAGAAAAGCAAAACCAAACCAATCCCGGATCGCTTCGAAATTGAAAATTGCTTCATCGACACGGATTTTGAAGACTAAATTTATGTAGCTCCTTCGAAACTACTAAATATCTCTTGCCAGTACTTTAATCTGAATCTCTCGACCTCGCGTCTCGAGCAAAACACGGGATTCATTGGGAAACAGCGTCTGACACATCCGGCTAAATGTTATCATACTTACATGATGTTCGTGACATCTAGTGTCTTATTAGGCTCTGGTTCCCTGGGGTACTCTGGGAGGGAAGGTCGTTTCTTTCGTCCTCCACCGCAGAGAAATTTACTTCGGAGAGAATTGCCTCTCTCGCCAGCGTTCTGAAACACGAATTTTGACAAAGTAAACGTGTTGCAGTGTAAATCAGAAGCATTTTTATAAAAGGAAAGTCAACGCCTAACATTGCCTAAGGAGTCTTCCTTATAATTTTTCTCTTTTTTTTTTCGGAGAGGGAAGGGGGGCGTTTTGGTTTTAGCAGAGGATATTTTCACTCGAAGGCGAATAGTAAGAATCCCAGATCAATATCAGTATCTGGGCAACTGCCTATCTACCCCTCCCCTAACCCAACACTAACCCTAACTTGTTATCAATTGATTATTTTTGAGTTAGGGGAGGGGTAGGTAGGCAGTTGCCCAGATACTGATATTGATCCAGAAACCCAACCTTCTTTTACAATCACTTTGATAAACCCTTTAGCCCTTGTGGGTGATTAGCATCCTATTTCTCCTAACAACATCACTGCTGAATAAAACATCAAGGTCAGGAGAATAAAGGAAATGATCACCAATTAAAACAGCTCCTGATTGTCCCAAAAACCCTCCGTGTCAACACCATAGCAAATGCGTAAAGAGCGTCAGGTGAGAATTACCCGCGGATGACCCATAAATCACGAAAATTACAAATCATCAAGGTCCATAAAAATACACGCGTACACGTGCAAGTCACGTGCCATCAATCACTTGAAAATCTTTCAATGCGCGTACTGCGACAGAAGGAAGTGTAACAAAACAGAAAGATTTCTTTGCACCTCGCACCCCTGATGTTCTGCACGAGCATGAACTTCACTGAATCGTTTGCAGAATCAGTTTTAACTCTTTACACTCTTACATCAGAATGCATATTCTCCATACTGTTCTCCAAAAATTTCCCTAAGCGCCGACGAGTAGAATTTGTTCCACAATCAAAACTTCTTGAGTAGCGATCATTCCCTTTATTTTCGTGATCTTAGTGAATAATTTAGCAGTATAACTGTAAGGAGAAATTAGATGTTGCTTACTCTTCACAGTGTTAAGGGTTAATATGAAGATGCTATTCAACAAGCGAACACTAGAATACAGTGTTCTCCCTTTTAGGTAGTAACCGGTAACATTTACCGCCTGTAGTACCTCTTATAACCGTTTAAAATTGCTTGGAATTCTTGAAAATTCCACAAGTAAAAGGATTACTTTACCGGTTTGAAAATTTATTTTACCTGTCATGCTTAAAATACGGGAGAACACTGGGAATATGGCCATGAAATGAAATTGTAAAAACAATTGTACAATTAAAATATTTATTTACCCAAGTGGAGTACTCTCGCACATCATGATCCTGTTTATGGCCTTGTGAAGACTTTCCTCTCCAGAAGCAGTCCTGGAAAGTCAAACAACATGCCGGTTAATCTTCTTCTTACCAAATAGAGTCGTTTTCCATGACCTAACGCGATATTGTGGCATACAGGGTTCACGCCCTTTTTAGAAACAAATTTCAAGGACTTTTCCAGAACTCAGATTAATTTTCTAGGACTTCACCTTAAACCCTTTCGATCCCAAGAATTCAAAATCAGTTCTCCTACCGGTCTACATACAATTCTTAAAGCGCAAATTGTGAAAACTTTATTGCTTGAGTAAAGCAGATTTCCAGGACTTTCCAGGACTTGTAGTCTTTTCCCAGGACTTTCCAGTCTTGGAAAATGTCAAAATAAAATGCCAAGACTTTCCAAGTTTTTCTAGGACCCGTGAAAACCCTGAGCATAAAAGAACTTGAAAATTACAGGCGCCTAACAGGTAGCAATCTACAATTACATTTTAGAGAGAATTAATAAAGGAACAAAGAGTGTACCTGACAGAGAGTGTAATTGTAACAGTGAAGACATTTGTACCTTAAAAAAAAAAAGAGGAAACACGACTTTAAATAAACATCTAGTTGGTTCAATTATTGGAGAGAAGATTAAAGAATCAAGAGACAAGTTTCATACTGAACGTGGGCACATCATGAAGACACCAGTATGCTGTCCTACGTTGTGGAAACCTTTAAGTTTTTGGGAAGCTAGAAACACTTATTAACATGACTACAAGATTCACTTAATGATGACACTGTGTGTTTCTGTGGGTCAAAGTCTGCTAAAGCAATTGAAACATGATGTGCAATTTATGTAGCCATAATCATTTAACTTTATGATCTTTTAAGAATGATATACAGTACATCTATTTGAGAAATGCTACTGTATGCAAACTGGTGGGTGGGAATGCAGCACAAGCAAACTGGGAGGATGTAATCCATTTGCTAAACACACACAATGATAATGAAGGGTTTTCTAAAAGAGTACAACTCAGTCACGCCAAGCCAGTTCGTGAACCCAGACCTTCAATATAAAAGCTAACCAAGACAGACCAAGAAGACAACTGTGCCCCCTCAAGTAAAATAAAAACTGTAAGAGGTCCAGTTTTCCAGTAGTCTGACTAACTCACACAAAGACAGAGAGACCAAGAAGGCAACTGTGCCCCCCTCAAGTAAAATAAAAACTGTAAGAGGTCCAGTTTTCCAGTAGTCTGACTAACTCACACAAAGCCAGAGAGACCAAGAAGACAATGGTGCCCCCTCAAGTAAAATAAAAACTGTGAGAGGTCCAGTTTTCCAGTGTTCTCACACAATCACACAAAGGCAGCTTCCACCTTTTACTTCCTAATTTTAGCAGATGATTTTTTATACCTGTACCTGTATATTTACTAAAACACATCACTTTACCTGAAGCCAACAACAGGCTTTGTCTTGCAAACTTGACAAGGAATTTGATGTTCACCTGAAGATAAAAAGAAAATGAAAATTCAATCTCTACAAAAAAATACTGAAAAGCACTAAAAATAAACTTAAATTATGGATCAATACTCCTCACCTAAAAAAACATCATCTCTAACTCTTCCTTACCATTCTCCTCTCATTCTCCCTTCTACCTCTTTGCTCACCCAGCCCATGCCCTTTCCTCTAAACAGACTTTCACCATTTGCTCAGACAAAAGGCTAACACTCAAAATGTCAGCTTTGAACTCTTTATCGCAGCCCATTTACATTATCAACCTAGTTGATAAAACCAAATTATCTTGTTTACGCGACTCAAACTGTTCACGTCTTGTGTGCTAAGAACCCTTCATAGTCTCAAACAGCAATGAGAAGAAAGAAAACCAAAAACATAACAACAAGGTATGTTCATGCAATAATCAAACTGTATGAGGCATAAACTTACATTTTGCAGCATTGGCCATTTTCTGCATGGTTCCAAGCCAAACATAGCAAAGGGGAGCATCAGTACCCATGACACACTCAAGAAAATTAAGAAGAACTGTTTCATTTCTTTTCAAAGGCTAAAATAAGAAGAAAAAACACCAAATCAGTGAGGGATAACACTGTATTTAACTGTACACAGTACATGCACTTTATGTATTGAGGAATGTCAACAGTACATGTATACATAAACAGTTAAACACACCAAGTACTATGTAATAACAAATGGGTTAAAAAATCTTTTTAGACTATAGAAAAACCTTTTCAACTTTAATATAAATATTTTAGTTACTGCTTCAGAGAAAAGTTTGAACAAAATAGGTTACATAATTTTGGGAAATTTATGGTTTGTTGTGAATATCCTAGCTGTGACAGTTTATTTATTTATTTATTTATTTAGCTTCACCTAATTATCTCAGGCAGGGAGACCACTACAGCTTTAGCCAATTTTGGTGGATCCCAAATTGACAATGACAAGGCCAGACCCCCCCCCCCCCCCCCCCCCCCCAAATTCCCAGTAAACAGGCCAGACCACATCACAGTAATCTCGTGAGTGGGTTCTTTAACATCCCCTGCCTAACCAAATTGACTAATTAATAGAAGCAGGAGACGGGACCTACGGTTTATTCATCCTTATCCAAGAAGACTAGAATGTCTATCCATTTCTTGACATAATAGAAAGGTAGCACATTCTCCTCAGTTATTTTAAGACCTTAGTGTTGGTCCAGCCGGGGCTCGAACTCTCAACCTCCCACACAACAGTCCAGCACTCTAACCAATTGAGCTAACAGTTTTTCTTTTAATTCATGTCAACCCTCTTAACCCTTTACACCCTAACACAATAATGTAATTCTCTATACTGTTCACTATAAATTTCCTAAGATGTTGACAAGGAGAATTTGTTTAACAATCAAGAACATCTTTAGTTAGTGATCATTTCCTTTATCCTCGTGACTTTAATGAGTGATCCAGGGGTGATATTGTAATGCGAAATTAGATGAGTGGCAAGTCTTAAACAAACTTGAACTACATGTATCCTGCTGTAAATTTTTCCATTCCCATTTTTCGAGCAATTTGGTTTACATTGATCAATGATTTGACAAATATCGAAACAAAAAGCAAATCCCATTTCTCTTAAAAATTTGCATACAAGTCAGAGCAAGACATAGTCGTGACAGGTTATCATACTGCAACACAACACCATTAAAATAAGCAAGTAGAACTTATCAGTTTTTTAATAAATGGTGAGATGAATGAACCAGTTTTCGAGAACAGCATGTTCACCGATGACAAAAGCTATGATAAAAGCTATGCAGACAGAGAAAAGGGACAATCAATATTCCTACCCCATCAGGACTGAAGAACCTGACCACAATCTCTTCAGAGAAACCAAATGTGGGTGCCTCTCCAACAGCTGCAGGGAGCTAAGAGAAGTGAGAACAAACATCAAACTTTCATGATACTGTAGTTAAAAATTAATGAATGTGTCATTTTAAAATTTCTTTCTGAGGGGTCAACCTGAACAAGATGTGAGTGGCTCGTGCTTTTACAATTCAGCCTGCATTTCTGATGCATTGTGTGACTACATGTACGACTGTTGCCTTTGAGCAGGTTCTCATCAGCCAATTGATACAGAAGTGACAGAAGCCACTGATTCTGAGCCAGCAGTGATGCAAGCATGCAAGAGATCAGCAGGTTTTTGGCAAGAAAAGTTTTAGTGCCTGATCCCTAAGAGACCTCTCTGATGCTTGTCCCACTGGTTGGCTCCAATCTTGCAGGCTTTGTTTCTGGTCCTGCAGTAACAGGAGGCAGCCTAGCTGAGTGGTTAGGGTGCTGGACTTGTAATATAGTGGCCCTGGGTTCAAGCCCTCCACCTGAATACTCATTAGATTTTTTCTTGGTTGCCCTGAGTTAAAATCCTCGCCTGCACTGTGTAAATAGCCAACTGGTCTGACTCCTGCCAGTAGGGATTTACAAGCACTTTATTTCTATATTAATTATTTGTTTTTCTCTTTGCGTGTATAAGCATATGTTAAGACTATGTGTGTGTTATACATGTAAGTATTAAATTTATTACTATTTTTTTTTATTAGAATTGACAGCCTGGTTAAAGGCTGTACTACAAAAGTTTAGAATCTAGTTCATAATATTTATCTTTATGAACATCTCCACAGACCTGCAATAATTCCCTTAAGTAAGCTTCAAACTTGGGGAAGTTCAAATAACCTCTGTCATCCTCAATTTGTGAAAAATGATCTGAAAAGTGAAATACGCAAAAGGAAAGGTTACATATCAATAATTAACATTAAGCTAAATGCATGGACACATTTGTCAAGAGCTCTTTTAAGACTAAATTAACAATGAGCAAAAGATTAAATAATAAATCAAATACATTTTTACCACATTTGATTAACAGGTCAAGAATAAAAAGTTCTTACATCTCAATTTATCTATGAGACGTCCAGCACAGAGTGTAGAAAGAGCAGTTTTCACTGACAGCACTCTGATTCTACCTATGGCATCACTGAAAACAAAAAAAGAGCAACATACCTATCAAGTTCCTGCCAATCATAGGGGAAAAAACCATCATACATGTATCAAATTATTAATTATTGAAGAAACCTACAGAGTAGAAGAGAAAAGAGCAGAAATAGCCACAGGGGCACTAAAATCAAGAGAAAACTAACTACAAAGAAAGTCAATTTTTGGCAGAGATGATGAGACTTGCCTGTCATGTAGTCTCCCTCGCAACTTGGTAACAATTAAAAATAATTTCCTTTTTTCCAAAAATTTTTTTGTTCAGAAACTTCAACTGCATCAACCAATATAACCAAATTTTAGTCAATTCCTCCCAATTTTCAGAACAAGTACAATGTATTCAAAATGTTTTCCCAAAGCTTTGTTTAAAAAACAGTAAATGGGTTCAAATTGCACAATGTTCTTCAAAAAAGTTTCACCCTTAACCTTACCTGTCATACGCATAAAGAAGCCAGTTAGTGACCAGACTTATGGATCGTTCTACATCAATGTAGTTAGTTGTGGGAAGCCGTTTGTTCAGAGCATAAAAAATACTTGATACAATTGCTTCCAGCCTTGTTTCATGGAGCTCTGTGTTGTGGTCAAGAGTATTCAGGCCATTTTCTCTAAATGCTTCAATCATGTTAAACACATCAACCAAGTGCACTGTGTGTAAGGAAAATAGAGCAATTAGTTGCAACAATGTTATAAATTAGTCTGGACATCGAGCTAAGCAAGCCTTTGGGGAAGAATTGTAGGTATACTCTCAGAACAGCATCTGAATATCAAGTCTAAAGGGTGATATGTAGTGGACTTTCTGCTTTTAAGATGAGTAAAAATCACCTGGTAAAAGTATCATATATCATATACCATGTACTCACAGTTGGTTTTGTTTTGAATGAAGAGCAGTTTTGCTGCTGTTCTGTAAGCTGCAAATCTTATTTCATCAAAACTCTCCTCATCTAAAAAAGGCACACCAAACAAAGAGGAAAAAGCACATTAAAAAATGAATGCATCATATCTTACCATGAACATATTAGAAGACACTCTTTATATTTAGCAATAACAATAGTTACAGTACAGAGATAACATAATGCATGTATGGTTTAACCCTTTAACTCCCATGAGTGATGAAGACAATTTCTTCTTATAATATTGGTACAATATCAGCAGATAAGTAACAAGAATAAAGAAAAATATCAATTTGGGGATAATTATTTGATCCACTACTAAAGTCTCTGAACTAACATTATTAGAATTGTATGGTTGATAGTAAAGAGAATTACAAATTTGATCTGGAAGTTAAAGGGTTAAGCTCCAAAATCCTATAGTGTATATTGATTCCTAACACTGTCAGCTGGACACATCTACTGTAAGTTCTGAGAATTTGTTGTTCCATCAAAAAACATTCTTAGGTTGATTTTTTTGTCTTTTTTTTTCTCTTGGCCATTAAGCTTGACAGTAAGAATGGATTTTGAAAAGATAGATTTCTCTTTTGATCAATCCAGGGATTGGAAGTATGAACAACACTCTAGCACTTGTTCTATTATCAAATGTTACTTACTCATCTCATGAAACAGGTCTTGAAGGAGCTGATCAGCTTCATCTTTGGGTATAGATTCATTCAAGATGCTGAAAAGAATTAATTCATTCAAGCATATAAGGTTTACATGGAATAAAGCTGTTTGATATTATCCAATTACTAGCTCTTCCCAATAGGTTTTTTTCTTGACTACCCTTGCATTTAGTTTTCTTTTTCACTTATAGACTTGGTTAGATATCCTTTTGGATTGTATTTCAGTTAGTATTCTTGTTTCAATGTCACCAATACCACTTGTTAAAAGAATTTCACCTGGCACATGTGAAAGATATGATGTAAACTATAAATTCAATTTCTACAGAGTAGATCTTGTACATTCTGTAATCTGAAGTACAATGTGTACATGCTTTTTATTTCAATCTGAGGTACAAACTGCAAAGGACTACCCACCAAAAAAAAAGCACTAAAATCTATGATTAAACAGAGTGCAAATTAACCCTTTCTCTCCCATGAGTGACCAAGACAGAATTTCTCCTTACAATATCAATACAATATCAACCAGATAAGTGATGAGAATAAAGAAAAATATCAATTTGGGGATACTTAGTTGATCCAATATTAAATTCCTTGAACTAACATTATAAGAATTGCGTGGTTAACAATAAGGAGAATTACAAATTTGGTCTGGGACTTGAAGGGTTAAGAACAGGACTACTTGGACAATTGGTTTAAACTCTTTTAAGACATTTGTGAACATGATACCAATAAAAGTAGACTCCCAACCAAATGATGCCAGTATAGACCCTGGCAAAGTTCAATATGACATGTTCTAGAGTGAGATTCTTGATTTTCATCTGCTCTCCAATCAGGAATACAAGGAAAAACTGGTCTTTTGCAAGCATAAACCCAACAATTTGGGTTAAAAAGTAATAAAACAGCATCTCATCTGGAAAAAGCAACAACCATGGCTGTTTTAAGCCTTTGAAGCAGAGATATAATGTAACTTATGGTGAATACAGCTTGCCTTTGTGCAAACTCAAGTCTAAGCCACCAAACATTAAGCTAACTTATCCCAGACTTATTCCACTAAAAATACCCCTTAATTAATTACTCATCTGTATACCTATTCACAGAGCTATCATTGGAAGCATTTGAGTGAAAAAGGATGTGGATGCTATAAAACTAACTGATAAACTCACATGGCAAAGAACAAAAATTCAATAGAAAGGGTGATCAAGCTGGTAACTTCTTTAAAAGTAATAAATATATGCTGAAATACAGTGAAATCTACTGTTCTAATTCATTTATTCAAGTCTAGCACCACAAATGCCCCAGTTACTCTTTGTGAAATAAGCTTAATTGATTTCTTTGTCTGTCAAACTCAATTCATGCATCCCAAAATTTACACTGTCTATAAGACAGAATTCTATAATTTTCAAATTAAATTCGAGGCTAATAATTACTTGTAGTATATGAGAAACCTGTGTCAGCTTCTTTATTATGGATGATTACTATCCACACGAAAATAATCCTCCTGCTTGAGGAAAATTATTGGGTTATTTTAAGAAATTAGAATTGGATTGCATCCCTAGGCAAAGTAAGACATGATTTTCAGTTTTTACAACAAAATAATGTAAACAAGTTCACTCACTTGCCAGCCAAGATAGGTGAGGTAGTTGCTTCCATCATTTTCCTAAAAGGCAAAGAAAGTCATTTTGAGCACATTAAAAAGAATCACCTATGTAAACATGATTGAACTCACAACTGCTTTGTTTTAGGGTTAAACTGTACAGAGGACTCTTGACTTAATTTAGCCTCCTTCATTTTGACCTCACTAACAAGACAGAAAATTGTCACAATTCTTTATTAACGGTACATAATGCGCCTCTTAGACGTGAATATCTTGAAAAGATGTCCCTGTTTGTGTTACCCTGAAATATTCTTTATCCAGTATTTATATTTGCCCTGAGGCCAATTCACAGGAATTAATTTAATCTGCTTAACTGAAAAATGTACAATACTATCGTGCAACAAAACCCACCGCCTAGATTACATCTAAATGCATTTTTGCGCAAAAACGGATGGTAGTAGGGAAAACATTTCTGTGTAAACATCAGTGAAAGCCTTGGTACATCTTTCGAATAACTCTTATAAATTAATTAAGGTTTCGCAAACTCGATAGGCCTTAAATTGATTTTTTTTTAGAAAATTCAAATATAACTTCAAGGTATCGAAATAAATCGTATGGCACTAATAAGTATAATCTATGTTCATGGGAGCGTAAGAAATATCCCTGATTTTATTCGGATTTAATCGCAGATCGATCAACTATAATATTCAGTTGTGATCTCTCATCGCAATTCAAAACATCCAAAAGGCGTCGACTCGGGTAGGGTCATTTCGCTTCAGTTAACTACAATTAGCACTTTTTACATAAACTAGTATCAATAAAATACGGTCACAAACAAGAAACTAGATTCTACAACGACATGAAGACTTCGAAAATGGAAACAGATGCGCGCCTTTGATATTTCCCCTCAACATTGTGCTTATTATGTGTTCAGTTGTCAGTTTGAAGAGATTCAAGACACTTCTACAAAAACATATACTGCTAAACCTACGCCCTTTAAAAAATAATAGCCTAAGAACATTCCAAAACGGAAAAAAAAGTAATTTAAAAAAGAATACTTATAATCAAGAAGTACACTGAACACTTGTTCGTAGCAGAAAGCTGCTTCGACCGATTTCCGGTCAACGATTCGTGTTGAATATGTTTACATTTTACTACAACTTCTCTTACTGCACTGAGGCAAATTTCGCTGTCATATCGAATTAAAAGCGAGAATTACCGAACGAACAATATTTCTTTCAGTGCAGCGCTTAATCCGACAAGGTTGGTGATTACCTTATGATCATACCTCGCTGTGCAGGTACAAAATATTATCATAACAACGTTGATTCTTTAAAACCTGATGCACTTATTCATAAACATCATAGCCCTTTCAATATTCACCCGCAGTCGGAAACGATGCGCCAACTCATTCAGTACGAAAGAATTCTTCGCGCTATTTGAATCAAATTCCAGTGCATACGATTGCCATTTTTTTGCGGTCAAGCCATCAAAAAGGCATCAAGTTCGGTACTATTCCGACAAATATAAGTACCAAACCGTAAATCCATACCTTAGATTGTACGTCGAAAACAGATATTCTTTCCTTCAAATCTTCAACGTAAACCAGTCTGACGGTCTCAATTCCGCCATTTGAAGCCTTCCTTCGCCATAATCTTCACCGAGCCTTATCTTTGTCACGTGACTTATGTTTCCATACCAAGAACATTTCCCGTGACCAATCAATAGTTATAGTAAAGAGAGCAAAGGTTATCAATTATCGAGATCATGAAAAACCACAAAATGAGTTAATGCAAACGAAAACTTTCGAATTCAGCAAATTAATTCATGTCTAAGCTTTCTTTTTTATTCTTTCTTTGAGACAGCTTTCAGCACTTCTACACGCAACGCGTGGAAATCTGAGGTCGCAGAGATTGCGTGACATTACGCAAAGATGAGATTCCTTCAGCCAATATTTTGATCGAGCAGTCAGATCTTCCTAGCCGGAAGGGCTGTTACTGGTAGTAGTGACTGACATTTTAACAAACTTAGCGGAAGTCATCATTAGAGTCGAATGGAGATTTATTATTGTCGGTCAAGTGTTACAAGTCCGGTTTGCGTAAACTGATTGGTCAGTTTGGCCGTGACGTTATGGTGCATAGTCTGTCCTGATTGGTCACATGCATCGAAATGTTAAGTTGTCCTATTCGGTTCGTCTGAAGAGTAAATTTCATTAATAAATCATTTGTATTGTGTCACTAGTTGGTGACAGCTGTTGAGCCAATGTGTCATCAGCATATTCTTAAAATTTTGGTCAATCTCAGCCTTAAAGTTTTCATCCATGGGAGCTTACAAATAATAAAGAGTGTAAACCATTCTTATCAAAGTTCTTTGTAAAATCTAGATAAGATAGGTATTGTTGGTGGCACATCTTGCTTGCAGCAGTATGCCACATAGCCTAAGTATGTGACAAACAACTTGGTACTACGTTACAGCAAAAATTTCACTTTAATGGGCTTCCTGATCACGTCCATATCTTACTATTAAGTTGATAAATACATTCAACAGAGGAAACATCTTGGTGTTATTTTCAAGCCTTAATCTCCGGAAAAGAAAAACGAACTTTCAGCCTCAGCTCCAACATAGTAATAATAATGATTATTATTATTATGTTCCTTCAAATATTTTTGCACGGACCAGTCTACACGCAGCACGCGACTCGCGACTGAACATCCCCCAGCTCTCTCCCACTCTCCCTCTCCCTCTCCCTCTCCCTATCCCCCTCTCCCTCTCCCCCCTCCCTCTCTCCCTCTCCCTCTCCCCCTCTCCATCTCCCCCTCTCCCTCTCCCCCTCTACCCCTCTCCCTCTCCCTCTCTTTCATAAGTTTACTTTAGATTCATATCTGAGGAGCAGATTCAGGATTCTGACAAGCAAGATGCTATGAGATAAGACTCGCCCACGCGCAGCTAGCCAAAAAGAGTAGGCCAGTGACATGTAATGTTATCTCATCCAGATTTTCAAATCGGAGCAAAGTTCATAAGCACAAACTCAAGTAGTAATATCAATAGAATAGACATGTTTATAGGACCAGCAAATGAAGATTAAAACACAGAAGGTTTTTATTGGTCATTCATTCATATTATCATATACGACAACATTACTCCTGTCTTTTTTGCTTTCTACATTTCTATTGGCTGCTCTCCTTCGTCTCGCATTTGACTTTATGCGTCGATCGTTTCCTCAGGTTCACTTGGTGTGGCTGAAAAATACATTATCACATCCTTATTTTTTCCATTCACTTATGTCAGGCTATCGGCCAGGGGAGACGAACGGAAAAAAGGGTATACGTAAAAAGCGGCGAAGTTCAAGAACTCTTAGTTCCCTCATCGTTTTTTCCTCACAATTTATCATAATGCAAGTGTACTTGTGATAAGAAGGAAAAAAAGAAAGAAGACTTTGATATCGTCAAGTTGCAAATATGCTGCAGAAAAGGCGTGGTGTCGTAATTGTCAAAGCGCCGAAGTCTCCAGTTAGAGCCCCATGCTGGGTACTTAACCATTATTTACTATCACAGTGTCTCTCTCTACCCGGTAGTACAAATAGATGAGTATATTTGCATCCAATTCAGTTGAATTAAATAATCCGATTTTCACTCAGAGCCGCGGAAACTGAGTTGGGGGAAAAACTTTATACTTTCCTTATGCGCTAATTTTTTTTGGATTAAAAATGAACTTTCATCCTCAAAAAGCCCCACATATAAATCTGAAGTTAAGTCGTAACTACTGGAAATCTTAAATTTGTAAGTTTTACCAACACTTGCCCTGTTTAGGCTCCTTTTTTCCTCATTCAAAGCATTTCAAGGCGCGCTTTTTTTCAAATTTGCCATTTCTCCGTTATGAATAAGTAATAATGTCCATACATTCTGCGCAACGAATTTTGCTTTCTCATTTCTTTTCTTTCTCAGACTTCCACCCCAAAGCTACACAGTAATCCGCGATTTCCATCCACCAAGGACTACAAAAAAAATTTAATGAATGGTAAAATGCAAAAGCTTATTAAAAGTATTTTCCCCTACCAGATTTCCAACTGCTATCGAAGGCTCCGATGTTCTCATTGAATACTGCAGTTACAGTTTGGTCACCCTTTGTAACCTCAACCTAAAAGAAGAAAAGCAAACCAAAACACTTATTGAGACTAAAAAAGCACTAAGCAACTGACTGGAAAAGTGTAAAGAGCGTAAATGATGATGTCTCTTCATTACAACTACTGTACCTTTCTTAGTTCCCAGCCTGCCTGACCTTGGATTCGTCTGTCTGATCTGATTCTCACCTCTGTGATGCCTCCAACATCTATGTCACTGAACTCGTAACTGAGTGATACTCTGAAGACGTAAAAATTCCGAAGAATTTTTTGGTAATTTGATTTGTTCCACCACTGAGATGAAAGGCAGGAAGGAATGTGGATAAAGCGATTTTCTAAGTGAAAGGGCTAATATCCTACCCTTGTGTTGTCTCAGGAGCAGTTAATAACTGTTCTTCTGTCATTTTTCCATCAGTTCCTATGATCATGGTGAACAGACGAAACTCCGACGTGATGATCCTTGTATCAGGGGTGAAAACAACCACCGTGTAGGGAACTTCGATGTGAAAATATTAACACTCATAAGAAAAATAACAAAGAAAATGAGAATGACAACAACAACTAAAGGACAATGAAAATAATGATGATTATCACAACGATAATGATAGTGATAATGATAATGACTGTGAGAGTGACAGTGATGATGACGATGACAAAAACAATAACGATAACGTTGACGTTAACGTTAACGATAGCGATAAAGATAACGTTAACGATAATGATAAGGTTAACGATAACGTTAACAGTAACGATAATGAAAATGATTACGTTAAAGATAATTATAATGATCTTGATGTTAATCATAAAAATACCAATCCAGTTGGCATTGATCTTATGACATATTGAGATACTAGGCTAACAATTTTGACGAACGAATACAACTAACTAGAAAATTAAACTTAAGAGGAAACTTCTCACCGCGACAGACCAATAATCGTC